GGTCTTCTGATTGTTTTGTAGAATGTTGCAATATGGCTGTTTAGTCCTTGTGAGTGTTTTTAGAATGTTGCTATACAGTTGTTAAGGTGTTCTTTGTGTTTTTAGAATGTTGCTGTGCGGTTGCTAAGGCCTTCTGACTGTTTTTAAAGATTCCTATGCAGTTGTTTAGGTATTCTTTGTGTTTTCATAATGTTGCAATATTGTTGTTAAGGCCCTTTGAATGTTTTGAAAATATTGCTACAGTATGCGGTTGTTAAGATGTTCTTTGTGTTCTTAGAATGTCGTTATGTTGTTGTTAGGGTCTTTTGAGTGTTTTTAAACTCTATATGCCTGCGATTATACAATCCTGAATTCATGGACAATATTGCTAAACAACAATTAAAATAAAGTCCCATCACTTCAATATATTGCTTAAGCAAAAAAACTATCTTAGGAACAATCATAAAATATAAATGTGCAGAAGACCTTTTTACTGTTGGGTAGGTGGATAATTACATCTGTCTGTGAATGGTGGAGTGCTCGGGCTTTCTGGGGTGGCAGACAATTTGGACAATTGAGGGATGGAGCAATCATATGACGGCATGAAGTCTAGTCACACTGCAGCTGATCTTGCTCACCAATTCAATGCCCACTTAGACAGGAAAAGACTGACACAAAAATGACCAACCATAATTTTTGTTTTGTGAGGCAGTGTCATCTAAAACAGACACCATCACAATAATAGACAGCTGGAAAGCAGCCAGATTTAAAGCTTGCAGAGAAATAATGAAAAAAAAAAAGCAATAATTGTTTGAGATAGCTTATTTCTGGCAGTGGAATAAAGTCGCATCATAATGAACTCCCTCAAGACATGAGCAATTTATAATTGCTGCAACCTGTTTGGAAGCATTAAATGTGTCCAAGTAGATGTCCAAAATCGTTACACGCATTGATCCAGAGATTGTTTAGATGCATGTCACTGATGAGAAGATGATGGATGTTTAATGTATGATGACCGAAATGGCCCTAAACACCCAGCAGGCACAAGATTTTAACATGATGTCAGATTGAGGTTATACCCTGACGTCATAGGTACGTTGCATTTTGTTTGCAAATGAAAATAGGGTTGACGTCTGAACTCAACGTCGGGCCAACATAAATGACCAACGTCCAACCTAAAATCGACCAAATATCTAATGATGTAACAGCTTGACATTGTGTGGACGTTACCACAATGACCTCCATCAGACGTTGGATTTTGGTTGTCATACCGGATGAATTAATGTCAGTATTAAACGTCAATATGAATATCAAATATCAAAGCTATTTGCCCTCATTATTGGACACCAAAGTAACGTTGTCCTTAAACATTGAATTTTGGTCACCTGACCTCACAACCTAAATCTAACCTAATATTAACGTCTTATGACGTTGTAAGACTGCTAGGCAATAACTAAATGCAGTACAGAATGTTACGTTTACACACATCCACAGATTACATGTAAATGCATCTGCTTTTTACAGAGTGATACTCACCGCTCACTACTCTTGAGTACTTTTAAAAGGGCTACTTTTAACTCATACTTTGAGTAATACTTACCATAGATACTTTTACTCTGCTCGCACTACATTTTTAGGTTAGTAATGGTACTTTTACTTGAGTATGATTTTTCAGTACTCTTTCCACCGTCTAGCATAAATTACTTTTGTTTTATATCAGTTAGAGCTGCACGATTCTGGCTAAAATGAGAATCGCTATTTTTTTTGCTTAAAATAAAGATCACGATTCTCTCACGATTCTGTAGATGTAAAATAAAGTTATGGTAAAAACAAACATATGGCACAACATCGATAATAATATTATGTGTAGGTCTACTGGTTTCTATAAATGATTCTATTCTACTTATAATAATTCTGATGTTGAATTACAATGTTTGAGATATATGCTTGCAATTAGACTATTTTATTCACTGGTAAAATCAGACATTTGCCATTATCAGATTATATTCAACAATATATAGGCTAGAGTAGTTATACTGACATTGTAAACATTTATTTTCATGCACAACTGTGGGTTCGCTATGAAAGAAAAAACATATCAAATGCATGTCATAATCATAACTCTAAAATGCGATATGATCATTTAAATGAAGTGCACACTTTCGGTTTCATTGCTAAGTACTGTTCATACTTCGCACGCGGCTCCCAAACGATCACTCTGTGCCACAAACTGAATATTATTTACAACTGTATTACCTGTTACTCGCAACATACGCAGGTTCTGTTAACTAAAGTAGAGGCGCGCACGTCTATCATTAAGTAGAGCGCGCGCGCGCCCTCTCTGTGATAACAGCTCACGGTCAGCTGCTCACGTCACGTGTGATTTCCCGGCCGTGAAAACATCATTATATGAAGACCAAAATGACATTCTTAGGTGAATTATAAATTATAAATACAGTATGTGACTCATTCAACATCATTTGTCAATGTCACTGAGCAACGTGTGTGAAACAATGAAAAGACTCGTGCAGCCGCCTTTTCTTCTCTCCTGAACTTGAAAATATGATTGACAGAAGCGTAGAAATGCTGGATTAAGATCGTCTAGGGCAGGGGTCACGAACCTTTTTTCAGCAAAAAGCCATTTCAGATTTTTTTCAGCAAATACATTTTTTAAAGAGCCATATGAGGTGTGTGTATATAACAACCCTGCTGAAAAATCCAGCTAAAACCAGCCAACCAGCTTATGCTGGTTTAAGCTGGATTTTTCAGCAGGGAAAACCTTTATTTATTGACCTTATTCTCCGCCGATGAGTGGGCGCAGCCATTTGAATCTTTTTGGCTTGAGACTTCCGGTCTCATTCACTTCTATTCATTTTTAGACATTAAAAACTGCTCATTACGCTGCTTGATGTTGCAATTTGACAATTCCTTGTTATATTATTCTACTTGGTCTGTGTAGTCATGCAAACATTTGTTTGTAGAGCAAGTAGTTTGACCGTTTTCTGCCGTTTATTATTCCTAGTCATTTCTCCCATAGGCTACTGAATCGGAAGTTCTAAGACAATCGCGAAAACAGGCGCACTTCCGCATTTTAGAATAAGGTCAATACACAAAACCTTTATTTATGTCCATACACAACTCAAAGATAAACAAATATGACCCATCACAATGTATGGAGAAGGGACAATTTACAGATTTTACCATCGCCACTCATGAATGTTTGGATTTATGTGTGTAGTTGTATGTAAATGTAAGAAATAAAACTTGAATGAAGAAATGAGTTCTTATTCATTTTGCTGTAGAAAATACTATTTAAAGGGAATTGTAATTGCATTTTCAATAGGAAACTGATTTCTAGTAAGTTATATTTTTACATTTTGAAATATTATTGAAAAAAAAGAGGTGGAGAGCCAAATATTTTTGGTCAAAGCGAGACATAGGTTCCCTACCCTTGGTCTAGGGCAGGGGTCAGCAACCCGCGGCTCTAGAGCCGCATGCGGCTCTTTAGCGCTGCCCTTAAGGCTCCCTGGAGCTTTTTCAAAAATGTTTGAAAATGCAAAAAGATGGGGGAGGTTAATATATTTTTTTGTTTTAATATGATTTCTATAGGAGGACAAACATTTTTTACGTTTTCAAATGCTGTCAAAGTGTGTAGAATTAATATTTAATTTCAACATTTCTGTCAACGAAGATTTGCGTCATAGCCTGCGACACAGGTTTCTATCAGCAGGGCGGGATGCCAGGCAGGTGGCTGTTGTAAACAAACCAGGAGATAATAAAGCATGGAAAACCGTTCAAATATGGTATGACATATTAGAACACCTATTTGCAAATTTTAAAAACAAAACCAAGATAATACAAAAAAAATAAAGATATACCTTTCTCCACTAAGACAGTGAAGGAAAGGGCTATTAAAATGGTAGGTAACATCACTGATCAGCAAACCAAGGACATTAATTCAGTGTCCGCATACTCAATTGCCTGTGATGTGACCGATATTCAACGCGTTTTTTTGCAGGTATGTGAACTCTGATGGGCCGCAAGAAGAAATGATCAAATTAATAACACTAAAAGACAAGAGGCTGTGCTGAAGTGTTTTAATGACAACAAAATAAATACCAACCACCTTATTTCAGTGGCTATTTAATCATGAAGGCTCATTATGTATTTGTAGCAATTTAGTCATTTTTATAGTAGGCTAATATAGCTAATATAGATACATACAGCATGTGTTTCCTTCATTATAAGGCTTATATAAGGCTTTAAATTTTTTGTGGCTCCAGACATATTTGTTTTTTGTTTTTTTGGTCCAATATGGCTCTTTCAACATTTTGGGTTGCCGACCCCTGGTCTAGGGGGTCGAATCGAGATTGCGATCTTTAAACGGTTAATTGTGCAGCTCTAATACCAGTACTTGATTATTTCATGTAATCTAAACTGAAATGTACAGTATGTATGCCCAAACCCCAGTGCACACCATCAGTCTTCTCTCGCTCTACAGCTATTAAAAACGTTTCAAATCAACAGCCTGGCACCTACACTATAATCCCCATAAAGACAGCACACTGCGGCATTAGAAACTCTCGTCCAATCAGATCTGCGGTCCTCAACATTGAGCCAAGCCGAGCGTATAAATTAGCGTAATAAATCACGCTGATAAGCAAGCACAGTCTTGGGATTTGAACACGATCGGCTAAATTGCGTTACATCATTACAGCACATAATGCGAGTCAGTCAGGTTTGTAAAAACAACAACCGCTATGCCAAGGACAAGTCAAAGGTAGAGGAGTTAAAAGTGTCATCTTCTGTAATTACTGCTGATTAGGCCTTTTTAAAATGTTTGTCGGAGGCTTTTGTGATTCCCTGATCTGGGCTCGGCTCCAGAGCTTGCTCAGAAGCATCGATCAACACGTTTTTGAAAGGGACATTTGTATAATGAAGATGCCCGTGGTTTGTGACCCTGTCTGTGATGGCCGAGACATGAGAGTGCACTATGTAATGAAAGTCTTTTTATTACACAGGGACTGATGCCACACAACCCAGCTGACCCATAGCGGAGGATGGAGGAAAACCGGGGCTGATGGGCAGTGACTGTATTTCCAATGGAAAACTCCAGAAACATCTCAAAACACACACATTCACACACACATACACCTGCTGAAAACTAGTTTAGAGCAACTTAAACGTTATGAAATGACAACCAAAGTTTATTTACTTAGGATGTATTTCTGATTGAAACAGGAAGTCAATGAGGGAACGATTGGTCAAAGGGGGTGGGGTTATAAAGCAGTAGGTTTATTTAGAGGCGGAGCAAGTTGTTATATTTTGAGGAAAGATTATGAAAATTGATTTGCATCACTAGCTGGGTCTCCATCCATCTGTTTTTAAAGCTGCAGTAGGTGATCAGCCAAAATGCTATTCGTTACCGTATGTTCACACCGAAAACGACGAGAGCGTTAAAATAGCCGGAAGTCGTTCATTTTCAATGAGAGTCTTCGGCGAAAAGCGCCGAGGAGCAGCGCGGCGCGTCTTCGCCAGCGTGGGCGTCGAGGAGAGTTGAAATCAAGTCAACTTTATGGTAATGAGCTATGACGCGCTTTGGCTGCAAGCAATCAGAATGAAGACGTCCACCACTTGATAGAAGCTCAGAGAACACAGACCTGTGAACTTTGATTCCGACCACAGTTGTTCCCAAGGGTTTGAGGATTGCGGTAACACCCGTTTTCCAATTATTTATAATGTTTTCTTACAGGAACATGCATTAAATAAGTTACTGACGAGTTACTGATGTGCATTAATGTTATATAAATATTTATCTTAAAAAGCAGGAATCTCACGCGACGTGACTGTGCAAAACAGTATAACGTTAGCTGCTTCAGGATATTTCAGACATATGGACACATATTGGATAAATAGAGCAAAGTAACACCACACACAACTTGATCTCACATTGTTATATGAATTTGATAAGAAGTGCGCAACATTTTCATGCTAGAAACATGTTTTATACAGGAATGTAACTGATATGCTGCAACGGCTCCTTTAAAGGGCCATGAAACCTCCTCGTTTCAGCAGGGTGTTTTCACACCTCTACTTTGGAAAAAGCCAGAAAAGTGGGCGTGTCCAGCTCTGTTTAGGGGGGAGTGTCGGAGGAAGAAAAGAGGCGTGGTGTGGGAGTGTCTATTTGGGCACGCGACTGTGTTTACATGGGCATCTGTAGTGGAATTATTTGCCAAATTATTAAATGGTGGACTTTAACTGTCTTTCATTCAGAGAATTCATTCATGTCCCTCGCGACAAACAAAATATTTGATTCGAGGAGCTGCTCTAAGCGTGTGTTTTTCATGCAATGTTTGATACCGCACGGCGAATGAGAGAAAAAAACCTCAGCATTTCCCGGAAACTTAGATGCACACGGCAGGCAGCGTCAGAAAGTCGCGTGTGTTATTCCTGTCACTAAATGCGGTAAAAACCCTACACAAGGTTAAAGTTTGGTTGTAGTGCTAACATGTTTACACTCTGTGCAATAGTTTGTTCGGTACGAAAAACTGAATAAACAAAGAGCACTGTTAGCTCACTTAGCAAATATGTAGAGACAGGACAATCACCAGCAACTAGAGCCGCGTCTTTATGAAGAGGAGACTACAAGCGAATCCGGATCTCAGCGTTTGCAGATGAGAACAGCTCTCAGGTAAACAATAATCCTCCTTAGACACGTAAGTTATTGTTGTCGAGCGTCGCGTACACTGTTAATCCACAAGTGAGTCTGAGCTCTCACAGAGAGAAAATGAAAACAAAACTTAACTGCAGCAAACTATAAAAGCAACACTTCACGCTTGTTTTGCCAACACAACGTGGCGTCTCTGTTGTCTAAGCACTGTGACAGTAATGAATATTAATGAAGTTGCACAATAGAGCGCGCTGATTCGTTTGAACCAAGCTTTACTCATGCATTAATGCATCACACTGTAAGACGTAATAAGACACACTCTGGCACAGGCGTCCAGTCTGCACGCTGGAATACACGCTATTATGTCATGACAGTGACGCAGCTTCAAAAATTCGTTTCAAACCGGAAGTACGAATTTGCTTGAAATAACGCAAAAACAACCAAATTACACTTTTTAGTGAAATATAGGTGTCCTAATAGTGTTTTTAGCAGTGTGGGACACATATACGACAGTCAACAGCTCAAAACATGTGTTTTGGTGTTTCGTGACCCTTTAAATACGAGATCAATGTAGCGAGTTTTGACGCTCTCGCCCCCGGAGCTGAAGGCTGACAGCGTTGTCGCCAAGGCGGCCAGAGCTACCTTGGATGTTCTCGCCGCTTTCGGTTTGAACGGAAGGTTAGTGTAATAGCCTGCCGTCCGAAGCCACGCCTTCTGAAACATGAACAACCAGGGGTGTAGGATTAGGGTGGACGGAGGGGACGCGTCCCCACCAATATCCACCGACTATTGAAATGTCCTAACCAATAATTTAATTCACTTAAAAAAATAAAAATAAATTGCACAGTCATTGTTAATTTAGAAAGGGTTAAATGACGTTCTCTTCTCAAGTCCTCCCGCCCCCCCAAAACACATATAGACATTTTGATTGGCTGTGCCTTTCCCTGCTGTCATGTGAGGGGGTGTGGCTGCGTTTAGATACTAGCAGCGCCAAATGCAGTGGATTGTTTTTTTCCCCTCATGCAAGAATAAGAAGTGTTGAGTCACACACACAAGCTTTTTAAACGAAAGTAAAGGGACTAAGGCCGTACTCACACTAGGTACAGTTGCCTCGAACCGGGCCAAAGTACGCTTGTCCCCCCTCCCGTCTCCCCCGACGGACCGTGCTCGCACCACAAATGGGCTTCGGCATGCTTACATCATCGATGCTGCGCTGTTCAGTGAGAAGCGCTCTCTCACTCAGCAGCACAGTGGAGATTTCTCTAGTTATATCGTTTCAGTCGTTTGATATGCCGTCAAATATTTCGCCAAGCAGTCCTTAGGGATGCGGGGACACACAGTCAGATATTTCGCCGAACAGATCCGCCACTTTTGGCGCTCATAAACAATCATAAAGCTCTCGTGCTGCAGGAATGAGGAGGTCTACTGAATCCGCGCAGTGAGGAGTTTGTGTCTTTAATAAACTACGGCAGTTTGCGATCATTGAACAGTAAGAATTATTAATAAATCCATATGAAACAGTGCCTTAAAAGTCACGTCTCGCTTTCAGTTTCGGGCTTTGGCGCGTTTTGCACTCACACACAAGCGCACCGCGCCAAAGCCCAAGTGAACCGCGCTCAGGCACAACTAGGGCCGGCCAAGTGAACCGTGCTTGAGCCCGATTCAGCGCATTCACACTTCTCAAACTATCCGGGAAACTGGCCTGGGCACGGTACGGATGGCATAGTGTGAGTAGGCCCTAAGCCGAAAAGAAAATGAATGAATGAATGAATGAATGAATGAATGAATGAATGAATGAATTCATATGACTCAACTTTGGGTTAGCTTTTTCAATTAAATTTAAATCAAAGATTTTCACCTAACAGTTGCTCTATTTTTCCATATATGACGTACCTTTGGGTTAAAGCAACCCAGCATTTTTAGAGTGAGGAAAATGTATAAAGAAAGTGTAAAAAGGGTCTGTTTTGAGTTAATGTTGACATACAGACCGATCAAAGCCGTTAGATTTATTCACTCATTTTCTTTTTGGCTTAGTCCCTTTATTAATCCGGGGTCGCCACAGCGGAATGAATCGCCAACCTATCCAGCATGTTTTTACGCAGCGGATGCCCTTCAAAATTTATTGAAAATATTGAAAATTAGCATTTACAATAAAAACATTTTTTTCCATTCAGGAAATCACCTTTTTGACCTTGTTTTCTAGGCTATGCACAGTCTAGACCTTTTCTAGAATTAAGTAAAAATAAATAAATAAAACCGTTAAATTAATAAAATAAACTATTTATTATTGTTTGTATGTTTTTAAAAGGTACTGCAGTCTTTCATTATCCTCGATTTCCTGTTTCAATAGAAAATACATCAAACTGAGCTCAACAAACCACTTCATGGGATCATTAACTGGTTTATACGGACATGAAAGTTTCCAAAACAAGCAGTATCCTAATTATGCAAGCTGAATGAAGCTGTTTTGGGTTACTTCAGTAGGGTCTCTCTCTCTCAATAGCTGCTCTGTGTAAATCTTATAAAACAAGCTGCGCTTCTTAGCCTGTGATCAGATGTCAGTGTTTCTAGATTTAAGGGAGCAAAACCAAGGAATAAGCTGTTTTTAGATTGGAAATATACTTTATAGCAGAGCCTTGCGTCCATGCAAACTTTTGCGGTAGTACTTAAATGAATATTTAGCTACCCAGCTAACTAAGAATGTTTTGTTAATGTTACGGTAATGAAAGTTCTGAATGTCCATTTAAACATCTAAGCTGGCAACGCAGAGAAAACTTTAATTGTAATTTAGCAAGTATGCTTTAAATCTTACCTGCGAATGTGTTATTCTGAACATTCTGAAACAGGCTGACCCACATAGAAATCTGATATAGCAATATATGCAAATTACATTAGGTTTATATTTGGATTTAACATATATAAAACACAGCTGAAACAAAAAGTTTACATATGCTATAAAAAAAGGAACATAACCATTTTTTAAAAGAATGTCTGATGGTAAATCATACTAAACCTTTACTATTTTAGGTCCGTTAGGATTACCTAAATGATTTACATTTGCTAAATGCCAGAATAATGAGAGAATTTTTTTATTAATGTCTAGACAGTGAAAAGTTTACACACATTTCCTTGGTATTTTTTTTTTAGCTTTGCTTTCAAACTGTATAAATTTGGCTTGCACTTCCACAAGCTTCACACAATAGTTTGTTGGAATTTTGGCCCATTCCTCCTGACAGAATTGGTGTAACTGAGTCAGATTTGTAGGCTGTCTTGCTCGCTCAAGCTTTTTCAACTCTGCCCACAAATTTTCTATAGGATTGAGATCAGGGCTTTGTGATGGCCACTCCAAAACATTCACTTTGTTGTCCTTAAAGCACATTTGAACTAATATATTTAAACATAAAAGAGGCCATTTTTGAAATATTTCAAAATATGCTGCATATATAGACCACTTTGAGAAATATAAACAATAATAATGGTCCTATAGTGTATTTACTGGTTCACATGTTTTATTTCCACAGCTTCTGAAAATCCAAAAAGGTCCATATATTGATAAATAATGTTATGATAGCCGTTTTAACATGCAGATATGCATGATACAGTTATGAAATAGTATCAGTAGGAAATATTCAGGGGCCAGACATTAGCCTACCACACTGAAATGGTCTATTTGACATTTAGGCTATATGCCAAATGCAAAGATGCTTATATATCATGTAGGGTTTTTAATTTGCATATATTCCCACATATAATTTTTCTATATGGGAATACCCATGAACAATTATAACTAATGTTTTGAGAACATTAGACCATGCTAATTGAAAGTTTCTTGTTTAACTTTGTGACAACTTT